AAAAGATTGGTTCAGAAAGGGTGAATAAAAATCATCTTTCTTTTGTACGGAGCTGCATTAATCGACTAAGAGCCCATCTGTGTCCCAATCCTTCCAATCAACAATGCAGATAATCTCTGATGTGATCAGCAGAAAACTCTGGGAGGAAACCTGAGACAAGGATGTTTAATAAAGAAATAAATGTTGACTAAAATATATATGAAATAAGAAGACTGCAGCTGACAAGCAGCTGATAAACAAAGTGTCTTCCAGCTGATATGGCCCTCCTGCTGTCAGACGGTTTGACATAGAGCAGCAGTTCAGCTGGCAGTTAGACTGAACTGTTGACTTGGCCTCCAGCTGGTTCGATTCCTGCCTGCCCACAACTATGTCTCTTTCCAGAGTACATCTGTGTTTAGCGGTGAGGAATTCAAATGCTGTGACCGCTGCATGTGTGTAAGAGTTTGCATGGGAGGGTTTGTGCATGTGTCGGTGTACCAGGGCAACATTGTATGTCTGCATAATTTGTTTTCTTTTTCATAAACTAAAAGGTTGCTGTTATCTATAGCAGAAAATTCTTTAGAATCAGAGAATTTCTTGTGGCCATGAAAGTCATATTAAGACTTATAATTTAGTAATGTGTTTGGACCAAATTTTTTATCTGGGATGAAATTATCATATATTAATTTCCTGTTAAGAATAGAAACCAAAGCTGGAGAACAAATTTAATATATTATCTATTATATATTATCTCCATGGTTCTATTTAAAAAATCCCCTTGGATAAGTTGGAGTGTTTTGTCCTATTTGAGCAATAGATTGTTCTCCAGTTCAAAGTTTAAACTTTCTCAACTCCAAAACCTTAAAACTTAAATAAATGGTAAAATGTATTATTCCTCCAAACCCCTGACAACCAAGGCTTCAGACCAGGAAGCGGAGTCGTCAACCAAAAACAAATAGATAAAATAAATTAGAAAAAAATCCTAAAGGAGTAAATCATGACATTCTAATTTAAATAGTCCAAATTAGGGAAAACGTTAAAAAATATTAAATGATGTTTTATTTAACATAACACCTCTTTCTTCAAAAAGTCTGTTAGTTAATGACTTGATTTGTGATAGTCAAATTAATTCATGATGCCCTAATTAGATTAAATTCAGTTTATTTATATAGCGCCAATTCACAACACGTCATCTCATGGCAGTTTGCAGAGACAAATCAACCAGATCATGCAGTCATATTGGTTTTCTAAGGAAAACCAGCTGATTGCATTAACTCATTGACTCAAATGCAATCCCTCACACCAAGCATGCTTGTAGCGACAGTGGAGAGGAAAACTCCCTTTTAACAGGAAGAAACCTCCATCAGAACCAGGCTCAGTGTGAGTCATAGTTATGGCTTTGCTGGGGTCTGGCTCTCCTTGACTCTCTTTGGTTCCCATTCTATGGCTTTGATGGTAGATTATTTGTTAAGGTTTTTGACACCATATTGGACCATGCAAAACACAGATTTGCCTTCAGAAAGCCTCAGAAGGGCAAGATATATGTACAAAAAGTAAATCTGTACATTAAATTATGTTTTTGTTTTTATAAAGTTTTTTATAATGTTTTTTGTTGTTAGCATTAATATAAATATACTGGTGTTATAACTTAGTATAAGTTTGATTGGTTCTTTGTATACGCCTATTTTGAATTTGCAGCCATCATTCATCTGCCTTATCTAAAGCTGACTTCTAATTTTCTTTTTGTTGATCAGTCTTCAATCATCATGCAAATATTTTAAAAGTTCTCTGGACTTCATAGAACTATTCTGTCTTATTTTGCAATGTATTTATTTTATTCCACCTGTAAATTTCCATTACTGGCTGCAGAGGAGTACTGGCTATGATGAGAGCCTGCTTTAAGAGGTTTGATGGATTGTAGAAGAATTAACTGGAGTAAAATCCTTGCTTTGGACCCAGAGCTTTGGCTGCCTCGCCCCACAGTCAGACTAAAGTTGTTTAAATGCAAGATTAATGAGAAAGGATTAGGAGAAAACAATGAATAATAAGATGCTGCTTCTCAATTTGAATTTCATCTGGTGAGAAAAACTATTTTGTCAACAAGTTTTCCTTTTTGTCTTTGTATGTCTCCACATCTGAAAATCTTTCTTTTTGTATTTGATATTGTAGAATTTGTTAACTATATAACCAATTCTACAGTATATATATATATATATATATATATATATATA